AATTCTAAGAGGATGAAGTCAGTTTCCACATAGCTTGTGCAAAGCTAAATCTGGAACTCACTCCTCCTTCCTGTTTTTCACTGTATTGAGAACCTTGCCTCAGTATGTGATGGGTCTGTGAAGAAAATTGACCAGATAAGCAGTATTACTCAGAAAATAGATGTCCCATACATATTAACCTGCACCTACCAGCCACTGTACACCACCTCACTACTGATTTGTTATCTTTCTATTGATTTGCCTGAACTGTTCGCACCTGTAGATATTAATGATGATCACGAGGGAATGTTTGTTGTCATATGATGTCATATGCTTAAAGTAAGTGAGGCTTGCGGGCGTTTTCAAGGGCTATGGGGCATGCCGATGGTAAACACTCAATGTGAGTTTATGGTAGACGCTAATAATATATACTAGTTTCTGGGTAAGTCGCTATTTTTTATTTGGTGAAATCTGCAGATGAGTTTTAGTCAGGTTGCCATTATGTGGGAACACAGGGGCCATACTCTGCAATATATTATATGTTTACATGTGTCTACCCAATCTCATTAGTATGTGTACAACAATGAGCTGTATTCGCGACTCCAACGATCTATAGGGGGCGCCACCACCAAACAAACATGGCGGCTGGGAACAGGTCGCGTCGGCTCAGCCGGGCCGCCTGAACGGGTAGCGCATTCAATTTAACAGATTTTCTTTTGTTTAATGCCCTATTTTATAGGTATTTCAACTGCGACGGTTAAGTGTAGCCGGTGCAGATAAACTTGCAGAGCATAGTTTTGTTTTCCCGGTGCTTTTTGTTCTTTTCATGTCAAACTTTTGTTTCGGAGGTTTCGTTCATTACCGAAACTATGGGCTCCGGGGAGACGGTAATAGACTCTAATCAGTTTTGATCAGGTAAGGAAAGCAGCGATGACTACAGAATTGTTCCACCGACAGTAATTTTCAACTAACTCGCATCACTCGACCATACGACTTATCTGTCGGCGAAATCGAGCTTTTGTGCGTATTAAGAAACAGCTCCAGTCGTCTGCTCGATCAGCAACACAGGCTGCAGGAAAATTACGAAAATTAAGCAAGCGCTTCTTGAGCCAAGCTTGAGCTTCTTGAGCCCCACTAAGCAGCTGATACTCTTATTTCAACTCAGGTTTTAGTGACAATCGAAGTCATTTTGACGAATGTGCGGGTTATGCATTATATTACGTACCATGTCCCACTAAAGGGATATTAGTATATTATTTGGGCTGAAATATGAGCTTACTTGACAAGCTATTAGGTGAACTGCTGAATCAAAGTATATTTGACAGACGGAGAGATACTACCTAAACTCAGCCATATGGTTCTAGCCGGCAGCACGGAGATGATTGCGGACAAATTTGAAGATAGTCTTCATCGGAGATTCACGCAGAACCCCTCTGCATTAAACTTGACTTCAAATCCTGAATGGAGAAAGAGAGTATCTTTTGTGGCCGGACAACCTGAGCAATGTAGACGGATATTGCTGCTGGCTTCAACGAGGGTATATTATAAATATTGGAGGCGCAATAGATCATAATGTTGTGACAGCTTCTAACTTTGCGAGACGCGTCCCCCATTTTTTGAAAGCAGACAATATCCCTCATTAATCGTATGCAGCGAGGAGGTTTTCGAGAATCAAGTAGATGCGAAATCAGCCCAACTTTTTCGGTGTGGTCCAGAGGCTTTTTCGGTGAAAAGCTGCCAAGATGAATAGCCAATGCACCGACCAGCGTGGGTGGCTCAATCTTGACGCTAATCAAACACAGCCAAATTCAAGAAAAGCAGCTATTGAACCTTCCCATTCACTTGACTGCAGCATTGGGGTTCCCTCCAGTGAAACACCTCGTCTGTTTTACATACCACTTATCAGTTACCGAGTAGTCGTCACTTTGAATGTCATTCGGGACAGAGAAGATATCAAAACGTTTTTCCTTGATTCCTCCCCATCCAAGAAATTGAAAGCACGCGATTGTGTGTTGTGGAGTAAACAGGCTTTCAAACACGTGATAGAAAAAAACAATTTACTGAGGCTTCATCACACTGATGAACACTCAGGCAAACTTGAGAAATATTCAGACCTTCATCAAATTACATTGTTTGCCACCGCGTCGACAACACGTGTCCGCGAAAGCCGCCAGAGACGTGGAGAGGCGCAGAGCGACCTGTTCTGGCTGGTTCCCGGTTTTCCCGCTTGGTGCTGTCCGTTTTGCTAGGGTCGCGAATATGTCGAGGATATGATTTGTCATTGTCTCAGTAAGACTAATGAATCGCTATATTTACCTAAAAATGCTGGATCTCTCGCACCTATCGGGACGAACGGCAATGTTAAACTACATGCCAACTACTCTGGCGAGTTTGCCCGTCTCTCGACATGCCCTTTTGAATTAAAGTAGATGATTTCCACGAGCCTTTCTTTGAAGTGGGCCTTCATGCAAATAGCTAACCTTGATTATGAGATAACTGGGCCATTTTTGCCGCTTGGTTATCCAGTGTGTTGTAACAGGTGTCCCTTAGGGCAATCAAAGTATTTTTGTTTTGATATAGTTTCCAGATTGAAAATGAAATGAAGACAATTAACGCATTGGTTACAAAAAGCTTTTCTTTTACATGGGCTTCTTGTCTAATGCCTCTGGTTTTCTGGCCACTTGATTAGCTTGGTTTATCTTTTTAGAGGTGATACTTAGTTTTTGTGCTTTTGTTTTGGGTGTTTTTCAGGCTGATTTTCTTTTTTTTGTTCTCAATAGTGTGTATATATTGCGCCGTTGAGTTCAATGAAAATTTGGTTTCGAGTCAGCGCTCTGTCCGTGTCCTTTACCCTGTCCGTCGTCCTTTGCGCTGTTTTAACCTTTTAAGCGCTTGCCCAGTTTGGAATTTCTGGATTATCATGTGCAGCTGGTATTGCTTTACCCTGTCATTTTACTGTGCTGTTGATTCTCTTTGCAGGTGCTCTAATGAAGGACTCCCCTTCCTGGGTGCATGGTCGACTTGCATCACAAGCTGCATGAAAAGTGTGAAGAACATTTCCTAGGCCCGTGACATGCAGCCTCTTTCATCCAGCGCTCTCCTCTAGCGAGAAGCCCATGATGACCAGCCAAGCTGTAGCTTCACTGGAGCTGACAATAAACAATTACGGTAACAATTTTGTATGTTTTATTTGCTATCATGTGTATGAGCGACAGATGGCTGTGGCAGCCGCTTTACCAATAAGGTGTATACCTATGCCAGAAATTTACTTTCATGTACAATGCAACATAATTGTTTACACTCATTTGTTGTTAAAATTATTCTTCTTATGAACTACATCATTTCTATTCAGGTGTAAATTGCACACAAAACCACATGTTAGGCTGTATGACAAGACCGGGAACTGTACGATTTTAGCCTGCTAGCCTGGGGTCTTGCTGGTATCTTGCGGTACTGCTGGTAGTGCACCGGGGATTTGTGCTGGCAGCAGCCCGGGAACTCACTGGGACAAAACAAGCCCGGGGACTGTATGGCTTGAGGCCGCTAGCCTGGGGTCTTGCTGGTATCTTACCGCGTTACTGGTACTACGCTGGGGATTTGTGCTGGCAGCATCCCGGGAACTCGCTGGGACGCCCAGTGCCGGGCGTCCCAGTCACTGGCCAGTGACTGGCAATCTCACTGGCCCGTTGTCGCCCCGCGGTGCGTTTCCAGCGTCGCCCCAGTAGGATCTTACCGGCAGACCGGTACCGCCCCAGTCCCAAACCGGCGAGTTGTGCTACTTGGGTAAGCGGTGTGACCCCGGCTTAAAAGGCCCGTTCACACTTTTGCCTTTGAGTACGACCGACTGAGACAAGACTGGTTTGTCAGCCTCTTTTGACAGCTTACGACCGGTTGCATTACTGCGCTGAAGTAGCTTTTAATCCGGTTTCAGTCGGTCCCTCCAGAAATGTTCAAACAGTCCGCGACCGGGCAAAACAATATCGCCTTCCCAACATCGTACCTGAAGATCAGCAAGCTTACCCAAAATGTCGTTCTTCTTCCCGTACATACAACACGTCAAACAAAACAAAAAAAAAAAAAGAATTACAAGATATTTTTAACTGCAAAAGCAGACGACGCATCGCCGAACGATCATTGTCTGCCGAAATGTAGCGCCAAAGTTTCAGAAGGAACTGTTATCTTCATCAAACGTTCCCTTTAACTAGTGCTAATCAGCTTTGTGTATTCGAGTACTTGTTCGGCTGCACTTTTCCCATTGAAATTTTTAGAAAACCACTTTTAAATATGGTCAAGGTTAGTTGTAAATCTTTGACATTTTGTTAGGACCGCTAGCGCTACATTTGGGCAGAGAATGAGCGTTTGATGATGCATAGTTCATTTTTGGAAGGAAAAAAATCTCTAGATTTTTTCGTTAACAGCCTAGTGTAGTCGCGGTGGCAGTCAGTTCGTCGAACGATATTTCATGGAGAGATTGTTCTGTCGACATCCGACGTTTCATCGACACTTCGTCTCATCGAAAGGTATCCCGCGTTCGCTTCATCGACTCACCTGCGACGTTTCGTCGAACACAACCCAGCTGTTTGCGTCTCGCCTTTAGGGGGGTGGCCTAGGGCTGGGATAAACACGCCTCCGTGAGTCACGCGCTAGCTTTTAGCGACTTTAAGATTTCACTATGCACTCAGAAAGAAAAAAAATATGTTGTCGACGAAACGTCGCAGGAGCATGTGTTCACGAATCGCCATAATGTCAACGAAACGTGTGTCCATGAAACGTGTTCCCATGAAAAGTTGTCCACGAAACGTGTCTCGACGATTCGACAAAACGTGTTTCAACGAAACGATAGGGGCCCCTGTAGTTGCTGCAGACATATTAAAACAATGCCTGCTACCAGTGGCGTAGCCAGGACTTTTTTTCCGGGGGGACCGGGGGTGAGGGGCTGGCTTGAGCCTCATAAGTTTCTCCCCTGGCTACGCCACTGCCTGGTACAAATCGACTGTTCCTCTGGTCACCCGCGCTCGCAGAGCCCCCAAGCCGCTGACGCTGGGACGCTTCCACCGCGTGGTGGCCAAGAGGTACCTAAAGGACGGCTTCCTGACGCTGGACGGCGAGGCGGACATCCGGGGCCGCTCCAGGGGCCTGCTGCAGTCCCTCGACCTTGCCGAGAACCTTCTGGTCGGGTGGGTGCCGGGCCCCCGGGGCCTGGGCCCCCCCGCGGGGGTCCTGGACAACCTGGGTGGCCTGGCCCAGGGCTTCCGGGGCTGCCTGCGCCGCCTGCGCCTGGGCAAGCGGGACCTCCAGCTGTCCGGCGCCACCAAGGACGTGCTGCGCGTCAAGGGACTCACCGAGTGCGGGCCTCCCTGCGGGCCCTGCCTCAACGGCGCCACCTGCCTGGACCACGGGCCCGGCAACTCGACTTGCCTCTGCGCCCCGGGGTTCCAGGTACTCCCCAGCGCCCGCTAAGGATCGTACAATGGGCGCTATGCTGGCGGCGCCAGAACGCGCATGATAAGAGACGGAAAAATTGCATCACTACCGTTGCGCCTGTTGCACGACCAGTTTCTTTAGCGCACCAGCGCGCTTCCGACGAGCCCCGTATTTTTCTCAAATTTACCAATTTAGTAAATTTCGATGACGCTCAGCAAGTTTCTAAATGGAACCATATGTTTATGTTCCATTATTCAAAGGTTAATTAACAAATTTTAGTTAATTAACCGACTTATCGTGACTACAGCCAAACCCGTTTATAACGAACAGCAGGAAACGCTACGGTCAGTTCGATATCGCAAGTAATTCGATATAGCAAAAACCATTTACAACGAACTTTCACGACATGTTCGCTGTAAGGCGAGCTCTCTTTCTTTTTCATATCTTCACTTCCACTTTGTAACAACGCGCTGAAAAGATTTTTTTTTTTTTTTTTTTGGCATGCGTGCAGAGTTTCTTTTCTTTTTTTTTAGCTTATCTTTCCTTCTGAATCGCTTCTCTTGGTGGGCAACGGTTTTTGAATGATTTTTTTTTTTTCTGTGCGTGCGTGCAGAGTGCATTTTTTAGGTTTCTCCCCTTTTGAATCGCTTCTCTTCGCTCAATTTTGTCCGCAACTTAAGCTTTTGGAATTATCTTTTTTTCCTACTTTTTAGGGGGGAAAGGGACAGCCTACACTCTAAAAAAAGCCCGTGCGTCTGCTCTCCCGCACAACACTCGTAGAGCCAATCAGCGCAACTTACGGAGGCACCTCAGCGAATGACAATGCCGAAACATATGTTTAGACCACAAAACGCAGTCTCAGTTGTGACATTAAGCAATGCAAGAATGACGTTTTGCATTGCTTAATGTCACAACTCAGACTGCGTTTTTTGGTCTAAACATATGTTTCGGCATCGTCATTTGTTGAGCTGCCTCCGTAACTTGTGGTGATTGGCTCTCCGAGTGTTGTGCGGGAAAGTAGACGCACGGGCTTTTTTTTGAGTGTAGAAGACGATTGTTGGCGCGTTTTTGAAAACCTTCCCGAGGGGGAAAAATCCATATAGCCAATATTTTGTTTGTTATAAAAAGTAATGTTTACATGCATTTTTATGTAAATTTTTTGTGAGTTCGATACCGACAATAATTCGCAGTACGTGGGTTCGTTCTAAACGGGTTTTACTATTAGTCATCTATATTATATCGAATGGATTAAAACAATGCACAAGCGGAGAGGAATAGATGTGCTTGTGGCGCTGTTTAAATATGTTGTCCACGTATCAACTATAGCTCACCTTTCCACATTATTATATTACGTCCTTCAGGCCGTATAACTCACATGCGCAGGCCGCATTAATGTAAGCCTTCGCAAGTTTTTTTTTTTTTTTTTTTTTTTTTTAAGACAAATCTGTAAAGTCTGAAAACCAGTGCCGCATGAGCAACAGTCTCAAGTTTTCGCCTTTCTCTTCCAAGTTTCGATGCTTCATAGTTTTCTCACAGTTAAGCTCGTTGGTACATGTTAGGTATAAGTGTCAGCTAGAACATAAACACAAACACAAAGGATAGAAAGGGAAAAACACACCGCTGACTATCAACTAGGTTATCATTCCTCTTCGTCTTTACCTCGAACTACTTTCCCTTCCTCGTCTTTAACCCCAAGTACTTTGTCCTCAAAAGTCTACGGGGGATCGGTGGTCGGGTGGGCTAGCGCACACCAGCACGGAGCACGTGGAGCGAAAGCTTGAGCTGTAGAACCCAGGGATTCTGGGCTCAATCCTCACCCCTGCCCGTTTCGATCTGGAGGAGCATCGGACCGGCGTGCGGTCGCGTATCACTACTGCGTGGTGCACGTTAAAGACTACAGGCTAGCAGTCGAACTGTACTGGCTAAATTGCTTATCTACCAATGTCGCCATGTTCTGGCAGACTAACCTCCTGCTACAGTACTCCTGCTGTATAAACATCTAACGACTAATTTGACCTTTCTTCAAAAGGTTCACACACACACACACAGACACACACACGCGCGCGCGCGCGCACACACGCACGCACGCACGCACGCACGCACGCACCGAGACATCGAAAAAACAATATCCGCGGTGCTTTAGGCCTCCGTGAACTGTGGTGAATGTTCGGGCGGATTACCTTTGACTTTTAACGTATTTACAATGCTGTGGTGTTTGTGAAAGCCCTTTGAAAACAAATTGCTTGAGGTTAAAGACGAGGAAGAGGAAGTAGTTAGGGTTAAAGACGGAGAGAAATTTTAACCTACTTGTTAGTCAGCGGCGTGTTTGTTCTTTCTATCCTTTGTGTTTATGTTTTAGCTGACACTTATACCTGCATGAGCAAGGTGAGCACTATTTTCAGTGCTGACTAATAGCACTGAGGTGCGTCAGTGTAGTTCGCACTGCAAAAATAATTGGGGTTGTGTGGTTATTTATACAGCGTGTAGTTCGTCAGCCATTTCAAAGTTGGCACGAGTCACTCGCTGTAGATGAGCAATTGAGCCAGTGCAATATAACCACTAGCCTAAGGTATTTAACGTGCACCACGCAATAGTGATACACGACCGCATGCCGGTACGATGCTCATCCAGATCGAAACGGGCAGCGGTGGGATTGGAACCCAGGACCCCAGGGGGGCTATGTTGCACGTTTTGGACTCCCAGGAGACTAGGGAGAAGTAAGTGGCGTAGGTGTGAATGAACGTATCTTAGCAGCACCACGCAACGCGTCATCAGCGACTCCACCAATCAACATCCAAAGAGCGTTGTTGACGTCACTTCCTTCTCCCTAGTCTCCTGGGAGTCCAAAACGTGCAACATAGCCCCCCTGGGTTCTGCAACGCGAGCTTTCGCTTTACGTGCTCCGAGCTGGTGTGCGCTAGCCCACTGGGCCACCGATCCCCCAGTTCGCACTGAAACCACTTTAAAACCCGAGGTCTGGTGACCATTGGCGTCCGAGATAAACCCGACACCAGGCAACGGTAGTAGTGGCCAGCCCTACAATAGGCGGGGGACAGGCGGATGCCCACCGTATATAGCTCGCAGCCCGTGGAACAAAAGCTGCCCGTGCTTGGAGGTGAGTTGAGGCCCGACACGCAACGAAGTCAAAGCTGTGCTATAAAATGCCATAAATGAACACCTATAGGTCAGCTCAATGTAGGCTGCAGATTCTGCCTCCTGACTTTTTCTGCAGGATTAAGGTGCATTTACTGTTTCATTTATTTGTCTATTAACGCACAATGTGCCTAAACAGCCGAATTCTGACAAAACCTGGTTAAATTGGCGCACGAAAAAATAGGAACAGAGAAAAACACGTAGGATACAGACAAGCGCACTCGCATGTATGTGAGTTGTGAGTGTGCGCTCGTCCGTCGTCTACGTGTTTCTCTCCTCGGTTCCTGTATCTTTGTGCGTAACTTTAACAGCGCTCAATCAGTACCAACTCGCCCAACTGACTACCTTACTGAGAAAACCGTCACGAAAGACTGATATCGTGATATGACATCACATGACTGACGTCACGGTGTCAGGGGCGTCATGATAGGCGGCACCACGAGTCGTGTGACCTTTTGTCGTCACGTGAGGTCACACACGCAGCATCTGCCCACTTGCAACACATGCTATGCTCCCCGATCTTGGTCAGCATAATGAAGTGTAATTATCTTTTCCTGGAAAAGTCCGTTAGAGGTGCAGAGACTAAATGCATATCATGGAAGTTTGACTGAGGTCCCGGCATCTGCGAAAGCCCCCAGTCCAGTGTGGCGAAGCCCCATAATCCCTCCTTAGTAGCCCTTCCTCATTGAAACCCCAATCAATCAATCAATCAACCCAATCATCCCCCTGCTCCTCCCCCAGGGCGCCCAGTGTGAGCGGCCCAGACGCCGAGCCTGCGAGCCCGACCCTTGCGGGGCCGGAGCGTCCTGCATGAGCCGACCCGCGGGGGCCTTCTCGTGCCGCTGCCCTCCCGGGCGCAGCGGGCGCCTCTGCGAGGGCCGGGCCGCCGTGCCAGAATTCTCGGGGGACGGCTATCTGGAGTTGCCCAGGCTGCACAACGTGGGACAAGCCTTCTCGCTCGAGCTCTGGTTCCTGGCCAGGGCCCCCGACGGCCTCCTCCTCTACAACGGGCAGGGGGCGTCCGGGAGGGGCGACTTCTTGGCGCTCAGGCTCGTGGCCGGACGTGTGCAGCTCCGCTACGACCTCGGCTCCGGGGCTGCTAACGTCTCGTGAGTAGGCCTGCGTCGCACCTTTCACGTCGACGTCGAGGCTAAAGGCTGCTTCAGACATCTGCGTTTTGAGTGCGGGGCAGGCACCGCTAAGTGTATCCGACAGCCATCAGTCGGCCGACAACTTGTATCTTTTTGACACTCTACGAATTTCTTGAACATGATTGTAAACCTGAGACTGGGGCAGAAAGAGAACACAACAGAAGGTAGTAAAAGAGGAGGCAACGTCTCAATTGAGACGTTGCCTCCTCTTTTACTACCTTCTGTTGTGTTCTCTTTCTGCCCCAGTCTCAGGTTTACATATGTGTATCCGGCAGCCATCAGCCGGATCACAATCTAGATGTCTTTGTTGACGTTGACATGTGACAAGGTCTCGCCAGCGAGGCTGGTTTAAACATCAGCGTTTTGAGTGAAATCAACTGATGTACCACCATTTCAGTTGCACCTTGTCGTAAGCATCCTGTGTCACAATTCAGACAGTCTCCTCGTCATATATCTACAGGCAGAGGGTTAATTCTCTACTTCAAGTAGCGTAAGCGAATGAGAAGTCGTAATCACGTTTTAAAGTGTGATTCCTCAAAGTAGCTGTAGTTGTTTTCAAGGGCTATTGGCACTTACCCGAAGAAGTGATTGGCCAAATATCAGAACGATTGAATTATGCGTTAATTTTGTTCATGCGTACTTCAAATTGTAGTTCATTAGTGACCTGTTCTCCGCCTGAATGTTTCTCTTCTGTCTCCTTTTCACGCTCTAGTGGATTTGTACTGCTCGTGTAAGTATACGGCTCTATTGTGACCGTTCTGCAAAGCGCACGGCTTTCGCGTGTCGAGAGGGAGTCCGGCTCTTTTACCGCCGGGCCGAAAACCCGTCGCTGATGTCCGCGCTCACGGCTGCGCTCTTGTGAATCACGCAGGTCGCCGAACGAAGTGAAGATGCATGAGTGGCACGCGGTGCGGGTGACGCGCACTCGCAAGGAAGGCTCGCTGCAGCTCGACGACGGGCCCACGGTGCATGGAGAGTCGAGCGTGAGCTGCTTCCCTCGTCTCGCTCGTCGGACTGCCCCCCTCCCCCCCACCCCCCCCGCCCCCCCCCCCCCCCCCCCCCAAAAAAAAAGGACTTTTCGTAGATCGTTTTTGCCCTCACGCGCAACAAAGACGTCGATTCTGCGCATGCGAGCTGCCAACCTTGTCTGCTGAGTTCCTCTGGACCCCGTAACGAAGTGCAGAGTGCAGTGCGGGATGGCGGAAACTATCTGCGAAAATTTTCTGACCTCCGGGTACTTTTACTGCTTCTGCACTCAGGACATTGCGCGACACAATAGGGAGTTTTCTTAGATCGTTTCTGCCGTCCCGCAACGCTGTCCGCAACCCGCTACGAGATTCGGGTTTCTTCAGTCAAGGCTAGCGGCACGAAGGCGCAGTACCGGTGCTTTCGTTGCGGATAGTTTAGCGTAGGGATGAAAGCGGTTTGCGAAAACTCCCTAATACGCGCAAACGTGCCATCGGTGCTTTTTTTTTTTTTTTTTTTTTTTCATTATCTTTTGACATGGTATGAATGTGGAATTTTATTAAGTTGATGACTCGAGTGAGCAGTTTCCTCCGATTGCTTGTTCCTGCTAAGTCTGTTGCGTTCTCTTGTAGACGTTTTAGAAAGTGGTTGGCTCCAGAAATTCCGTCGTTATACATATACTATACCTATGAGCTAGGAATATCAATAGTTTTAATGATAGTATTTGTTATCCAAGCAGCAATTCACTCGAAAAAACTGTGGTGATGATCCTTGTAGAGCTCTATGTTTCCTTTGCCTCCAAGTCGGGTGTTTCCCAATTTTAGCTTTATTTTAGCAGATCTAAGCCTCCTGTTGATCCGCAACTATGATCCAAACAATCCCTACAATGCACTTCTTATTTTTCTTTTTTTTTTTTTACAAAAAGATAGATTTCCGTACTGCTTTATCGCAATAATGTAGTGTCTGTGAGGAGTTGCTCGGTCGTTAATCAAGGAAGATAGGAGTTGCTGAAGAACTCTCGATCGTCAGACAGCACATGCATCGCTGTCTTGCCCGTTGCACCAGGGCCCGCTGAGCGAACTAAACCTGGAGCAGCCTCTGTACCTGGGCGGCCTGCCGTCCGAGGCGGCGCTGAGCCCCGAAGCCGGGCCCCGGGAGCCTGGCCTGGACGGCGCGCTCCAGCGTCTGGTGCTCAACGGCGACGCCTGGACGGACCTGGTGGGACGCGCCAGGGCCTCGGAGAGGGTCTCCTCGTTCGCGGGGCCCCCCTGCGGCCCGGCGCCGGGGCCCTGCCTCAACGGGGGCCTCTGCCTGCCGGCCCTCGCCAGGCACTCGTGCTCGTGCCCCGCGGGCTTCGGGGGCGCCCTGTGCGAGCTCGCCTTCGACGAGGCCCAGCCCAGGCCTGTCGCCTTCGCCGGCACCAGCTTCCTTCACTTCAGGCACGGCTCCAGGTGCGCATACCTGCGTGGAGGAGTCCTCTCCACTGCGCACGCCGAACCCATGAATAGAACTTCCTGTTCTGTCGTGATCTGTCATTTGGAATAACTGTCGATTCCTCTTTTGCAGGGAACCTGGTGAAGAAGAAGAGCCACTAGGGTGAGTACTAAAGTCCCTGGAGCAAATCTTTAAAGGAGCTGTGCAACGATATTCAATTGGAATGTTTTTCTCTCTACACGAGCTTAATGGCACACCTGGGACTCAAGGATACTCACACGCAACGCCATTGTCAAAGAAACTCCTATGTTGCGGTGTAATTTCAAGGACAAAAGCGATCATTTTCATTCAATCTCTCCTTTGCAAAATTTGATGACGTAACTCGGGGATCGCAGTACACCCAAGTGACGATATTTGAATGCGGTTCATAGATTGGACCCGAGCATTGCGTGGGCACTCGACTTGGGCTCGTGACAATTGCTAGCTCGAGGAGCATTCGGGTTGTGAGCCGTGTCCAATCGCTGCAACGATGACAACAGCCGAGCCATAACAACGTCTGGAACTCAGCGCGTGTCCTGCGCTTTGCCAACCCCAGCGCGTGGCTATGATCAACACTGGCGGCATATAATCGGCTCCAGATCACGTGGCCGCTTGTTCTGGGTGCGAGTTGAGGGGGTGAACGCTGCTCGTTTTTCTTTAATTTTTTTCTGGGACTTCTATTGCGTGGGGTGAAAAACGAACGCCTGTTTCATAGGTCATTAACGTTAGGGATCCGTTTTAAGCGGTATTTGCGCAAAGTACAAAAATTGTTGCATCGCTCCTTTAAGTACCATAGCGGAGGAAGAAGATCACTCTTTGCTTGGAGTTTACAGAAACTGTCTCCTCAAACCGTAGACTAACTGAGAACTTGGACGCTGAATTCTGAAATAGGGGAAAGTATTCTTGGCCAGAGCCTTCGGGTCGGACAAACAGCACGTGTCTTTGTCCCCTACGCATCTCTGTTGGGCAACGGTAGAGACGACGGGAATCGCGCATTCGCGTAGTAGTGTAAGAGTGGACCGGAAGAATATAGTACCAAAACTTCGGTTCATCCTCGTTTAAAATCCCGCGGTTCAGTTGCAACCTGTAGGGCTCATTGTACCCGTGCCTTTTCTCAGCGGCGCTCCCGAGAACGAGGTGGAGGTCCGCTTCCGCAGCAGGGAACCTCAGGGCCTGCTGCTCTGGACGGGGGGACGCGGGGACCACCTGGCCCTGGCGCTGTCCCAGGGCCGCCTCCTGGTCTCCTTTGACCTGGGCGCCCAGCGGACGGAACTGTGGTCCGAGTCGCGTCTGGACGACGGCCGCTGGCACACGGCGCGCCTCCAGCGCCAGGGCCGGCTGGCCACGCTCACAGTGGACGTGGGCAAGCCGCTGAGTGCCACGGCCACGCCGGGAGCGACGCAGCTCAACACGGACGGCCTGCTCTGGGTGGGCGGCTGCCCCAAGCTGCCTCCGGGCCTGCCGGCCCCGCTCTATTTGGGCTTCGTGGGATGCCTGACGGCACTCACGCTAGACGGGCACTCGGTGGCCTTGGCCGGCCCGCCGTGCTCCGACGAGCCCTGAACGGCCCCGCGCCGCGACGACTCCATGTCTTCCAAGAACGCTCTCGTGCCTCGGCCGCCGCGCCACACTGTAGACACAACAGAACGTTGGCGCGCTTACGGGTGTAAATGGCTCGTCCCCTCCGTTGGAGGTCCTGCTTCAGCCAAATGAGGGTAGGCAAGGGGGTTCGCTGACACCTCTTATAGGGTGTTCCCGAGCGCCCTTCGGGTGTAAACAATTTTGTATAAATAGACCAATAAACGGAGTGCATTCAAACTTTTCACATTGGTGTCTTAGGTGGTGCATTTATCCTACTCAAATTTGATGAGTGTAGGTTTTACGGAAAAATCGTTAAGCCTAAAAAAAACTGTCCTTTTGTATTGTACAAGGACGAAAACGAAAAAACCGTGTGGTTGACGCTGCTACTCACAGATGGTGTCAGAAACGCTCAGATCTGCCCGATCTGATTTCGGGTGTTCATCTCAAAGAATGTTTCACGTTTCTGCTTTATGTCGTGCCGTCTGTAAGTAACGGCATCAACCAAACTTTTTTTTCTTTCGTTTTTCTTGTGCATTTAGAGGCAAAAAACTTTTTTATTGTAAAATTAAATTAGCTATTATAAAATTTGATTATGATAAACGCACCATCTAAAGCCGCCCTGGTAAAAGTTTCTTTGCATTCAGCTCACAGGTTTATTTTTTTCGAATTTTTCGAATGGTGCTCGGAAAAGCATGATGATGTATTATAAAGCTATGACATTATTTGAATTGCTGATTGTTCTACAACTACATGAGTGTTTACTATACAGTGTACCGTATGTACGAACTGCAAAGGGGACAGAGACCTTCGTCAGGCATTTTCTGCCTTTAGTCTCTGTTCCCCTTTCGGTTGATCCGAAAGAAATAAAGACTTCAATTCAATTCAATTCAAACACTCTGTATGGACAACGAGGTCGCAGTGCTTGATTCTCTACGTCACCTGCAGAAGGCCAGCGCGGGGTATGCAGACTGAACGCGAGTTTTACGTCCCCATTTGGCTGGGACGCCTCGTGTTTCGACTGAGTGAACACGAGCCTTAACCGAACGCAAACGTAGCACCGGTGTACAACCTCCGTTCGGCGCTAGCCTCCTGTAGGTGACGTCGAAATTCGAGCAATACAGGCCTTGTTATTTCGAATGTGTTGGGTTGGAGTGACCGTGCTGTACAAATGGAAAATTGTACGGAGGAAGTTAAATGTAGTCAATTCGTCGCACTGCGCCAGAGAATGCCATCGAGCTATCGGAGAAGCTTCCGGCGCCCTGTTACTACGAGTCTCCGAACGCCGAGGTGCTTCCGCGAACAAAATGTTGCGGCTGAATGGATAAGAAAAGAGGCAGAATTCGTAACGAGGAGTGAGGCCATCCGAGATGCCTCCATGATCGCTTCCTTCGCAGTTCGTGACGCGCAGCGCTTCGCCTCTTCGAACCTAGCTCCTAAGCTTCTGCTCGGCAAACCACCGCATTGTTCTGTGGAGCTTCAATATCAGTCAGGATTTTCGGGCAGTTAACCCCGCGAGGGCGAAGCCAGAAGGCAGGAAGCGCGTAGCAAAAGGTGCGGCCCGAGTACCTCGCGCTTTTTTTTTATTAAGACAGGCGCAATCGAGCTTTTCAGCGAGGTTCAGCAAGTTCTTCCAGGGAGTCAGGAGCCCAAACCGGCACAGCCTCGCTACACGGGCAGTACCAAAGTTTCGGGCATTGCGATGAGCATAACTTTCGTTGGTTTGCGTTGTTGGGTCCAGGCAGGCGTGTTGGTTACTTGCTTCTTCCATTTGTAAACGTTCCTTTCTATGTGGGTCATGTCTACCTTTAGAGAGCAATTCCAAGACCTACCCAGGACACCCTCACCTTTTTTTTTTTTTTTTTGTTACTTGGGAGCGGACGTGCTACAAGTGCGAGCCATCCCAGCCAGTTGAGCGCTGCGAGCGCCTCACGTGACTTTGCACGTCGCTGCGCCACTCTGGAAGGTCGCCCGACACTCACGTGGTACTGGATCGGCTCCGACGACTCTTCTCGTCCGCTGCAGTCCGTCGTAATGACAAACCGAGTATGGTGTCCCTCTTCATTCGAAACGTAGAAAACCTCCATTTGGTTCAATAATTTGCTTCTCATCACATACAAGGTCCCGGCATTCGCACGGCTGACGCCAAGTGTCATCTATATACTGACAACATGCAGCGCAATGTGGTTTGGAATCAGCCCAGGACGATGAACAGTTTTCTCGCGAAAGATTACGCTCTTTTCAAAATACGCAGTCTAGGACAAAGGACGGGCTTCTATGGTGGCCGCATAAATCCGAAAGATCGTTACAACCTTAGATCGAAAATTGGCTAGCTATACTGGATGAGCTATTTACACCCACGATGGCGCGTCTCTTTTTTTACGGTGCAATGGCCGCCTGTGCGCCGGCTCATTGCCCCGCCGCTGACGAGCAACTCGGACACTGTACTTCGAGGACGTTTGTGGTATCGCGCCAAGTCAAGAGGAATCCGGCATAGCACGCTATGACCCGTGTGATATGGGTCCAATGTGTTCGATTTGTGCCGAAGACGGAGTAGCCCGCCAGCTGACACGGACAAGACGCAAGCGTCGAGGCTAAGCGGGCTCTGCCAAAAAAGGTCCTGTCTCGCTTTTGGAATAAAACGGAGAGGGCTGTTTCGACACCCGGGACCATCTGGAAGAAACACTATGTCAGTGCTCGTCGGGCCTGTATGGGAAAGCGTTGTAGAGATGGCTCAGATGGAAAGTGCCAAGTCAAGTTCTATCTATTACCACGACAGACTTTTTTTTTTTTTTTTTCAAATTATTTAAAGTGTTTACAACACTCCACGTGCATCCGTCAAAATAGACCCTTCTCGAAACCCCAGCAAGCACCGTAGGCGGTCTCCACTTCTTGGACACGAAGCGGATGCAGCACGAAACACCACGCCGAATGCTGATGCGGCCCTTTTGACCAATGCGTGCTCAAATTGTGTGTCCGAACTAGGTTTCGCCCACTTTTGAGAAGAAAAAAAAGATCTATTGCATTCTGTTAAGCGCAAATATATCAATCGAATGCAATCCTGTAGTGTTTTTTGTTTGTTTTCACCCCCTGTTGTGTTGTGCTTAAAATTGCTTCCATGCATTAGACATGTGTTTTCAACTAGCCGTTTTTCTCGAGTGTTCGGCATCCCAGGAATGAGGGCCAAGCTAGTCACGGGGTTCTATCGCATGCCTCCCTCCCCATTCCAAGTTGCCGCCTCAGCGGCTGCCGACATCGGGCTTTTTCCCGCCGTCACGAAAACTGCCGAACTGTTCCGGAGACAGCGTCGAAGAGAGTGCGTGGGTTACTCCACGAATACGCCGAGCATCCTACGCACTCGGCAACTCGATAAAACGGGGGCCGTGTCCACTGCTGAAGCTTGCTTTGCGGGAAAGCCCAGCTCGTGTCTTCTACGGAGCGCACAAGCCGCCGCCATTAGCGGGGAGGACGTGGTCCTCACGCTTTCTCCGGTAGGCGTAGTGGTCGACATCCCGCTCGTGGTCGATGCAATGCTATAGACATGGTTTCCCATCCAGCCAACTATGCAATGATTTCCCGTTACGGTGCATCCAAAGGCTGGTGCACACATTTGCGTGTGTGTGTCGCGGACCGCGTTCCAACCGCTTGCGACTGCCTACCATGGGAGAACACAGTGGCGCCATCTAGCGTGTACAGGGTGTCACAAAAGAAAATTTACACGGTCTTTTTTACCGCAAAAATAAACTAGGCGTCGTCGAACGCTCATTCTTCGCCCAAAGGTAGAGCTAGAGGTCACAACCAGATGCCAAAGTTTCAGCCCGATCCGATAACTTAATCAAAAGTTATAAGTGATTTTCTGAAAATTTCAATGGGAAAATGGAGCCCATTTTTGCCCGTTTTCGGTTTCTGGCGCCATAGAGCCCCATGTGTTTGAAAACTCCGTCGGCCGCCATTTTCCCATTGAAATTTTCAGAAAATCACTTATAACTTTTGATTAAATTATCGAATCGGGCTGAAACTTTGGCATCTGGTTGTGACCTCTAGCTCTACCTTTGGGGGGAGAATGAGAGTTTGGCGATGCCTAGTTTATTTTTGCAGTAAAAAAGACCGTGTAAATTTTCTTTTGTGACACCCTGTAGTCCAGGGAGACTTGCGATCTCCGTATAACTTGACTGAACGTTTTGCAGCGTTTGCGAGATGTTCCTATCTGGGAAAAATGGTCGCTTATTAGAATTATCTCGAGGCCAGGGTGTAAGAATGAAGAGTAAAATGTGCGCAGATCGGAAGTGTTCCAGGGCTACCCATAGATGGTGCCAGTGTTTACGCTTCGCGTTTTTTATAAGTTGCAATGACCACCGTTGCGGGAGCGTGCGAGTGCTGCGTCGTAGATCGCTTCTTGGGACCGCACCAAGCACGGGCCTGGTACATTTCACGTTACTTGCAACACAAACGGGTCAAGGTGCTTTACTCGTCGGAAGTGGTCAGAGGCATTTGCAACGCAGTCGATCACGCTCATGCGCAAATAGGCGAACCAGTCTTAACGCGTAAAGTTCCTTCGTTGGTGCAGAAGAAAACGTGTCCCTAAAATGTGGTTTCACGCAACACTGTTCTTGTTTGCACATGTTGAAAAGGACGTGAAAAAGGATACGACGCCGACTCTTTGCGAGATGCCCGTTTCGCCTCTCGATATCACATGGGCCATACTGTGTTACAAAGTGTGCAAGGTGTTGCCACTGCTAAGAGTGTCTCATATGTGGTCTGCATGTCCGTCATCGATCCCCTGTAAATACAAACGCTGGATTTGGCTGCTGGCAGCTGGCTGCAATAAATAGACACTGCATATCTTGGCTCGTTCATGCAAGGCACACTTTTTGGCACGAGACAGACGTACACGCGAGACGAAGACGCAAAGCTTTTATTATATGTAGGGTGTTCGAAATGACGAGGTTCGATCTAAAAAAGGCCGTAAAAACAGTCGCCTGCACGTAGCATTTTAAACTTTTCGTCAAAGGCGTATTTCACAGGTGGGTTTTATCTTGTAAAATTACAAGGCGTACCTCCCTTTCTGTAACATATGGACGAAAACCTTATGAGGGTCAACGGCGTACGGCGACGCAAACGGCCGAGTCCAGTGTCGGGACGCGTTTGGTGCACGTGCTAATAGACGGCGTCGGGAGCAGCGTCGGAAGGTGTAGCCGACTGGCGAAAGAAAGCAGACGACACCCAGACGAAATTCGTCGTCAGCAA